CCAGATCTACATGATGCTTCTGATGATGACTATGCCTGCTAGGGACGATGATGATGCTGATGCTGATGACGAACCTGGGAAGGAGGATGGTGAGGGCGGAGGCGCCCAAGACGCCACAAAATGGACACGTCCCTGCCGCAAGCTGCGCAGATGTGCCCCAGATCTACATGATGCTTCTGATGAGGACTATGCCTGCTAGGGACGATGATGATGCTGATGCTGATGACGAACCTGGGAAGGAGGATGGTGAGGGCGATGCCAAAAAAAGATGCCACATGCGACTAGACGTCACAACATACTCCCGAAGACAAAAAAACCTTACGCCTCCAGGACCTAACAGCCCTCAAGCCCCTAGAAACCCCAAAGCGAAATACATAAAACCGCCCCAAGCATCCTTCCCTGAGGTCGCAGCCATTGCTGAAAGCTCAACAGCTGACCAGGAGCTGGTTTGAGGACATCTGCCACAAGACAAGCAGGGGCTAAAGGTTCGGGGCTCAAAGTTTCGAGTTTAGGGGCTCGAATTTGTGCAGGGTCCCATAGGGGCAGGAGAGCACCAAAAGCGCTCCACGAGGAGTCTCGGACAGGGTTATCTTTACTATAAGGGTTCTGCAACGTTTCCGGAAAGGAGTTCAGTATGGGCTCCACAGGGGCTTTAACGGACTCTACAAGGGCGTAACGGTTCGAGATAAGGGTTGTATGGATTTCTGTAAGGTTGCCGATGAAGCTACTGTAACGGCTCTACAAGGTTTCTATGAGGCATGACGGTTTCTATGCAGGCTCTATGGGGTTTCTACAACAAGGGTTGGGGCTGACGCTAGCTGTCCTGCAGAGGTTTAGCAGGGCTTTGTTTGGTTTTGGGTGTTGGCCAAAAGGTTCAGGGCTTCGGATGTAAGGTACAAGGCTTGGATACAGAGACTAGGGCTTGGTTGTGTTTTAGGGATTGGGGTTCAAAACTGTATTTTTGTTCGACACTGGCTTAAGCATATTGATGATTGTATAACTACCTGATCGCAAAGTGGATCCTGACTTGAAAGCAAACCTTTCTGAAAAACTCGCCTTGCCAAGGGAGAGCTCAGGACTAACTCTGCACCTGTTTGGGGCCCCGGGCACTGCCATTCACTCTTTCTTCCACAGCCTTCTGAAGATGACGCAAGCACTCCTGCTGAGATTCACCTCCTTGGAGGGAGTGTGACCAGTCTGCGAAGCAGGAGCTTATGTGCCCGCACCGCAATCCCTCGGGGCTTGGCAAACTAAAGGCCCTTGCCTTGCGTGTTGCGATGTCCGCAGGAGTCACGACTCGCATTAAGCTCACACAACTCAGCTGCACAACGAGCGAGCTCAACCGGGCCATGCAAACGCTCACGCTCACTAACACGACACTATAGCAGAACTATGCCGCACTTGTCTTGCTGCACTAGACGCCGTACTCCCAGAAGTAGCAGTCAGCAACCAGTGAAGAAGGGATTGACACAAAATCGAAGCAGCGAACCATGGAGTGAGGAATGGCAAGCAGGAAATCTGCAAAAACACAGGCAGATAGTCGCAACAGAATGTGTCGTACTGGGACAACACACGGCGAAATCAAGACCAGGAGAGGCACAGGAAGATCACACCTTCTTTAGCAGGCTAAAGCATACTCCGAGGTCCAATGAAAAACTGAATGACAATTAAATGTTAACTAAACAAGAAACACGAGCCTAAGAATGGGGACATCCACACCAACATTTGCTTTCTGCCATGACATAAGTATTTTCGTCATCAATGTTACCATCATGAACTAGATCATAACCACCCATGATCATCATCACCACCATCACCATCACAATCATCAACTGCACTAGCAGTGTTCCAACCATGCCCCTCACCATCAGCATTGTCATCATCAACACCACCTCCATGGGCACCACCATCATCAACAGCACCACCGCCACTCTCACCATGACCGGCATCGCAGCATGACTATCATCGTCTCACCTTCACCACTGTAATGGTAGCATGAGTCCGATCCACAGTCACAGTCGGGATCGCAACAGCAAGAGCAGCGCCCCGAGGCATGCTGCGGTGGCAGCTCGATAGGCTATTTGCCTTGCACCTTGTACCGTGTGCATGAGGTCCCTTGACACTCCAGGCGGTAGCGGCAGTGCAGCTTAGGATGTGGTTTACGCCCCGCCAGGAAAAGCCGGGGGAGGCGAGCTGATGGGCTGGGGGAATCGGATGATGTTTCAAACGCCGCAGCAAAAACAAGGGCAGCATTCCGTTCCCCACAGCTCCCTCTGGCGGGGGACGGTGAGGTTGAGGTTTCGGAGCCCCCCCATTTTCTGGAGAGCTCCCAGGGCCTCGCCCTGCGCAAAGCGTCATCAGGGGGCCGGGCGTTACTGATAACCGCCCTAACAGTCGGGCACCCCCCTCGAAACCGCTTTGCATTAACGGCTTACTCTTCAAGGGAGGCAACCATGGCCCGGTTGCTGAGTTCAGAATTCACAGGGGGGGCTCGAAGATGGAGGACCTCTGTTCTTTGAATGTTTAAAAGACTCCCCAAGCTGCTGGTCCGCAATCCTAGCTACTCGTCTTCCTTTCGGGAAACGCCTACGCGCAGACTGGGCTCAAGAGCCTCTTCAAGAGATCTTTGTACCTCAGCTCAGCATAATCGCGGTATTCTTGTATCAAGGGACTCAGTGTGCACAAGTGAATCTCTCGACGTCCCAGACAGGCTGCTTGCCAGCGCGCCGTGGCAGCGCACAGTAGTTTAAAGGAATCCAAGCCTCCCAGAGATGTCGGGCGGGAGGTGTTGGGGCTGTTGTAATGACAGCGACAGCCGGGAAGACCGCAAGACAGGCTCTAGCGACCCCGAAAAGACTAAGTTTGGATCATGCGGATACTGGAGAGATTAGCGGCTTTGCGCTCGAGCCTTCCGAGGGGCAATGACTTTGAACTGCGGCTTTGGGTGCCGGGTTCCTCCCTACAGTGAACTACAGTAACCACAGCCTTGAAGACAAGTTGCGCCCTTGAGTCATCCCCCGGAGCCCGTCTTGAAAAGTTCTTCTGGGCGGCAGATGCCTATGGCGACGACCCGCCTCCTTCCAGGCTGGCAACGGATACCTTTGTCTGGCATGGGCCGAGACTTCGGAATTCACGTGAGGGATGGTAGTGAGAGTTTAGTGATCACGTCTTCGGATGCGGGTTGTGGAGCTGTGGTCTGGCATCCCCCAGAAAAGCACAGATCCCAGAAGTTGATACGGGCTTTGCTGAACATCATTACTTTAAGATCATCATCATTGGTCTTTTGCTGGTGCGATTCATCACACCGACAGCAGGGATTCCGATTACTGTACTACCTTGGCCCTGGCAGCCAGCACACTGGACGTAGGTATCCAAGAGCATCATCGCCAGGTCCAGCCGGTCGATCGACTCGGCGGCGGCCCTGCAACGGAAGGACGCGACTCTCGGATGCAAAATCGTCGGCGCGGATCCCCCGCGGAGCTGCCAACACACAGGCACTGGCGTCACTGGAGCTTTCGACCTTCTTTTCATCTCCAGTTTTGAAGGGAAAAAAACTACGGCCCTACGGCCCTTAGCCCTTCCAGTTGGCCCAAACCGGTCTTCGCCTTGACAGCTTCTGCCGGCGCACGAGGTCTTCGGTCAGGCGCCCGAGGATGGCTTCCAAGCCTCAGTCAGCAGCCACCTCTGACCACCGCCCCCTGTAGCTTGCCACCAGAACTGGAACTCCGGCTCAAACCACGATCCCTACCCGGCCCAAGACAGAACAACTGGAATTGAGACCTCCCCAAAGCCAAAAGATCTCGGCTTGCGAAAATTTCTGACCTCGACCTCTGAAAACACAAAGAGCCGCTGGCTGGACCGAGCCGCTGAGCCGGTCCTCCGCGGCGCCCTCCCGGAATCGGAGCCTTTCCTGTCACCGCTGGGCATTGGGATGGCACTGGGCTGCCTGGCTTGCCAGAATCACCACGGCGAGAACTACTGCGACTCCTCTCCCACTACTTCGCTGCTACCGCACCACCATGTACCACTGCTTGGCTCCGACGTCCTCCTCCGAAGCGAAGCACCTTGCCCTGGCGAGGCTTTTTGCAACGAACGTGGAGCTACTTCGTGCGAGTTTATCAACTTGGCATCTCTGAAAAAGATGGCCTGTACACGATGGTCATGCGCAAGTCGGAGGAGTTGTAAGTCTGGAGCACCTGCCGACCGCCAGGACGCCGTCGCGCACTCTTGAAATATCTTGATCGCGAAGCAGCCTCGCCGTTGCTCCGGAGCTGCCATTGCTCATCGCCCACCTCCGGGATGAATTAGTTCAGGGTGAATACCACAAAACACAATGCCCCAGCAATACACATTTAGTCCCGAGCATAGAAAAGGGCGTTGTCTTTGTCCTGCCAACACGGATAGAAATAAGCTGGTTCGGCCATGGGCTGAAGGAGGGAAATGCTTGACTTGCTACTTCAAGGCAGAAGGCATAGTAACTGAAGCTGTTAAGTCTGTTAAGTCCAGCTTTAGATTGTTGTTTACGCTGAAGTCTTGAACCCTGTGACCCGCGCAAGGTCCTTTTTCTAGCAACGGGGCTTTGACGCTTGGACGGAAGACGCCGGCAGCGTGCAGCGTCTTGCTTCCGTCGACCTGGGCCGTGAGGCCCCATGGTATGACAGACAAGCACGCCAGCAGGATACCACTGCCACCGCCACGGCCACCGCCATCAGCATGATCAGATCAACAGAAGTATCATAAATGACCAATGTCATCACCATGTTCATCATCATGCTCGCCGTGATCATCATCATCATCATCGTCGTCGTCGTCGTCATCATCATCGTGGCCATCATTATTGCAAGCATCATAACTCTCCTCGTGCCTGTCGTCGCGATGATGACGGAACAGATGATACCCCCGCTGCCAAGGCTACCAAACCCCACCCCCACCATGCGCACCAAACAAGACAATGCGAAGTCAGCATCTGGAAACTTTCCCTCGGAAGGAATGAGGTCACTTCTCAATACTACAATACCAGAGACTTTAGCCGATGAAGCTCTGCATCCTGAGCCGAGGCGCCGCCACACCGGAGAGCGGCTTGGAAAGCACCGCCTTGGGTGTCGCTGAGTTCTGGTCGTAGTACAGGAATCGACCTGCCCGGAGGAGACGAGGCTTGGGGCACTTGGGGCTATAATAATGACAATAATAATAACAATAATAATAATCATAATTATAATAACCATAATAATAAACAATAATAATAATCATAATTATAATAACCATAATAATAAGGCTTCGAGGCTCCAAAGTCGGCCGGGCTCAGGGAAGCTTGGGAGCGATGCCTTGGAGGAAACTCTTCCCCTCTTCAACGCCCAAAGGGAAAGGCTCCGAGACGCAAACGGGTAACCTGCAATCCTCGAACCTCGGAAAAATTTACCCTCAGATAAGGACAGGCCTGTATGAATAAAGGCTGGCCTCCTGAATCGTCGTCCAAAGCCGGACGATCATGCAAGTAGCCGACGACCTGAACCTGGGAGGCCATGTCGGGAGTGCCGAGCTGTCGAGCAGAAACAGCGAACGAACACCAGGCCTGATCCACGAAGCGGTCCTGGAAGAGGTTGGAAAATACCATGACGGCGAGCCTGCTCCAGCACCCCAACCGCAGCAAGAGTGCAAGCAACACGAATCATCACATGCCAGCTTCGAAGTACTTGCAGCTGGCAGCCAAGAGCCCCTCGAAAGCCTGGGATTGTTTAGATTTCCTGTGGGCAAACCAGCCCCTGCAACAGATGAACTACACTACATTGCATCTCACCTTATCCTATAATCATAACAAGATCAGAGATTCCGATCATCGAGCAATGTGGCTTGTCCTTGATGCTTGCCGAGGAACAACCACTGCGGAAACTGGAAGCCTGAGCGGAACTAGCAACTACCTGTAGGATGCATCTGCATGAGCGATGCTGTGTGATCGTGGCTTGTGGATCTTGGACGCAGGCGTGGTAGTTATCTCTTGTTTGATGGGAGCGCCCGGCCAACTGGTTCTGTAATCCCGCGCCCTCGTCAAGTAGAAGCCTAGACACATGCTTCCAACCCTTTACTCAACAGATGTGGGTCTAGCCTCTAGACCACACCTCCTTCGAATGTAAGGCAGCCTCATGAACACTTCGGCCCTAGCCTTGCCCAAGCGCGATCCCCTGGTCCGCCGAGGCACGTGTGGCGCCCAGGAACCAGGGAGCATCCAGATGAAGTGCGACCGTCTGCCCCGGAACGGACAGGATAAAGTTGTACTGGAAGGGATCCTCGGATGGCGCAAGAATTCCTCTTCGATGTTACGCGAGTTCATGCCAAGGTGTACTCGAATGCCAAAGCACGGAAAGCGTATTCAGGTTGTAGAAGATTTTAGGGATTGAAAGCTCAGGGGTGCCCAAAGCCCCGAAAGCCCAAGATCCTAAACCCAAGAGACATGTACGAAGATAATAATAGTAATCAATAATAATAATAATAGCAACAATACAACAATAATAATCAACAATAATAATAACCATAATAATAGCAATAATGATTCAAACACAAAGGGGGGGGGCATGCACCAGCGCAGGAGAGCCTCGAGCACCTGTTTGCTTCTGGGGCAGACGCTCTTCGCTGAGCGCTGGAACTTGGGCCCGGCAAAGAGCTGCTCGACCACCGGCATTTCGGTGAGGTTGAACCTGGGGTTTAGGGTGGTTTAAGGTTTTATATATTTAAAAAGGTTGAAGGGCTTTAAGGGGTTTAGCTCAAACAGTTGAAACCAAACCAGAGCAAGGAGCCCCCAGGGAAGGAGACAACGGGATACACAAAGCGAAAACTCTGGCATTGGCCACCCACCCACAGCACAAAACATCGGCGTTATCCTTCACAGGGAACCCCTCGAGGGGAACTAGCAAAAACCTTTACAACAAAGTGGCTTGCTCATGTTTTGCGATCTGTCTCCTCAAGTATCGATTGGCCTGCTATTCGCTGTCATCGTTTCCGTTTTGTCAAAGGCTCTCCACTTCTCCATGTTTTTGTCCATCTGCGTGCTCCTGGTCCTCACATTTGTTATTTTTGTTCGACTGGCGTGTTTTCTCAAATTCTTTAGGCTCCTACGACCTTTTTGCAACCTTTTCTCAATTTGTTTTGTTTCATTTCGACTGTTCGTCTTTCTCGAATTTTTCTCCTTGTCAAGTTGCCTGGTCTCGTTCCAGGTTGCTCCTGCTTCTCAACTTTTTACCTCCTTTCGGCCCGGGTGCTCTGCTGTATCAAGCATTCCTCGTCGGACGCGAATGGCTCTAAGCCTCTTTCTCCAAGTTGCTAGTCTCTTTCGCGCGACCCTGCCGCCTATTATGTTTCTACTGCACTTTATGCTGTTTTGGGCGCTTTCCTCGTCTGTCTCCAATTACATTCTCAGATCTCTTTCCTCTTCCTCAAATGTTCTAGTCGTTTTCGGCTGGTTTGCTGCTGTTTTAATCCCGTGCGGGCGGTTGGTTCCTGCTTGTCAAGTCACGTTCGATTGGTTTCCGCCTCTTTCCCGAATCTCCTTTGGTCAAATTTCCCATCTCTTTCGAGCAAACGGGAATTCCTCCGCACAGGAAGTGGAGCATGCTTGGCAGGAGCACTGCTCCACCCTGCCTGAAGCACGATTGCACGGACCCTGCTGTATTAGGATATGTACGGAACCGCACCTTATGAAGCCCGCAGGCACGGCATGAGAATGTTCAAGTTCCACGTGCCCAACTGTTCGACGCGGATTATCTGCCGCAGAACAGTCTAAGCCGTCCTTCTCCAGGTTCTTCATTTGTCCAATTCTCTCGCCTCTTTCGAGCATGTTGTCGATAATTTTCTCTGTCCTTTTTCGACAAGCTTGATCCTTTCTCCACATCTCCTGCTTCTGGAATCCGCTAATCTCTTTCGAGCAGTTTGCTTCTGTTTCTCCGATTTTCGAACCCTTTGAGAACGGTTTGTTCCTCCTTCTCAGAGTCTCCTCTTTGTCAGGTGTTCCAGTTTCTTTCGAACGGTTTGCTGCTGCTTCTCCATTCCTTTCTCGCATTGAATTGGTCGACTCCTCTTTCGCAAGGTCTCCTTTTTGTCGGCTGATCAAATATCTCTGGAGCGGTCTGCATTTCTTTGTCAAGTTTTCAATTCTCGATCGACTGAGTTACTCCTTTTTCTCGAAATCCTTGAAGGCTCTAGGGGCTAAGCCAAAGCAAAAGGCAAAGCCAAGGGCCTAAGGGCCTAGCCCAAAGGAAAGCCTAAGGCAAAACCAAAAGCAGAGAAGGCAAAAGAAAGACAAGGGTGACGAGCAGGCGAAGTTAAAGAAGCAAACGCGAAGAGGAAGGAAGAGGAGGAGGAGGAGAGGAAATACAGAAGGGGAAGAAAACAGCATTGAGGCTGAAATGGAAACTGAAATATCAAACTCCCCGTTGATTGTTTTTTTCCCTCTTGCTCAAAGTCTCTACTGGGTAGTATTTTGCAAGCGGTTTGCTGCATTTCTCAACGTTTCTATTCCCTTTCGACGGTTTTCTCCTCTCCTCCTTGTCACGTTTTCTAGTCTTCTCCGAGCAGTTTCTTCTGCATCTTGAACACGACGCAAATGGAGTCAAAGTTTGCACGGCTCAAGGCTAGGATGCCTGTTTTCTAATCCTTTCGACTGGCTTGCTCCTGTTCTTCGAGTACGAAGCTGCCTCTCTTTTCCGACAGGTTTGCTCCTTTTTTTCTGGTATTAGGGGACCCTACTTTCGTACCCTAAATAGCAGGATCCTGATTATCAGGACCCCAGAATAAGGACCCAAAAATTCCCTTTTCCCTTTCCTTGGTGTGCTCCTCCTTTGGATTCTCCTGATTGTCAAGTTCTCGAGGTTTGCTCTTGTTTCTCGACTTGTCTGAGACAGGGAGAAACGCAGGGAGACAAGAGGCCCACATGAAGGGAGACAAGGCCACCTTCGCCGGTCCCAGATGAAGGGAGTCAACGGAAGACAACCGGCGAAAACGCAAGCATTGGCATGCATTGGCCACCCACCCACGGTGCGAAACACTGGGAAAGGACTTTGGCTGCAGGTTTCGGACTGCTTAGGGCTTAGGGTGTAAGACTTCGCGGTTTAGGTGCACAGCTTAAAATATGAATGGGGTGTAGGACTTACAGTTTAGGGCCTGGGGTTTCGGGAAAGGGTTTAGGATTGAAAATTTTCGTTTAGTAGTGCAAGCTAAACCCTAAACCCCCACGACATGTCGAGGGTTGCCTACACATGAAAATTTTATCCCATTCACGCAGTCGAGCCACCCAAAGCAACTCCTTTCGGGCATTCGGACCTAGCTGATTACAGCACTCATACAAAGCCAAACCTCTGCGTATTCTGGCACAGTTGCTGCCTGAAAGGCGATCTTAGGAGACCCTGGTCGGCCCTCTCAATATTTCTCTGCGGGGAGGGTCCGCAAGCCGCCGACTACATTCAGCGCGAGGTCATCGTAGCAAAACTGGCAATGATCATCATCAACATATTCCAGTAATGTTCAGCCTCATCCTCATCACCATCGATCACCATCACGACCATCATCCATCAGCAGCACCACCGTCATTGTCGTCGTCATCATCATTTCATCATCGTGATTATCATCCCATCATGTATCGCAGTCCTACTTGTTATGGCACAGGCCACCAAGACCCTCCCGAGTTTAGATCAACCTCTGCCGGGCAGCATGTAGCGGCCGAAGGACGAAACGCGGGAAACCATGTCCTCGAAAGGCTCCCGGATAGCCTTTGGCGCAGATGGGCGCAGAATAGCAGCAAAAAAGGACACGGAATGGACATGTTGGTGGCAATATCAGCACTGGATCTCGTGATTCAATGGGCTAAGTTGTGCTCCAGTCTGCGACGGATCCTACTGTCGATGTTGCCAATGGTGATGACGACGATGGTGACATTCAGGTCGAATGAGGCTGACTTGACACAGCGGAAGTGATGGTGGCGATGATCATACCGAGGACATTGCCAGACTCTTGATGCCAAGAACTAGAATAGAGAGCAAGAGCATGGAAATCCGACATGAAGATCGCAAAAAAAAATAAAAATAAAAATAAATATATATATATATTGGGGTTCTGACACTGTCACTGTCTGGAGGACTACAGCAAGTCTTCACAAGTCAGAAGATGATGCGGATACTGGCCATAATGCTGACTGTCATCACACCACCATCATCACCATCGTCATCAACGCGGGGTACCCTATACGCGAGTCTCCAGAATCCGAGAACGGCCGGGCCACCTCCGGGCCCCCTGTCATAATGTAGTGCTTGGCCACATCGATCCGCTGAGGCAAGATGCACTCGCTGCCTCGAGGGAAATGGAAGGAAAAGACACTGCTGAAGTGAGGGCGGCTTAGAAGCGGCAAGCCCTTGCAATGGCTTCCCTCTTTCGATCGAACCAAAACGGTCGCACTTTCTCTTGTGGCTACTCTGAGAATAGCCAGTCTTCAACCCTGCTACAGGGAAGTCGCGACATAGCTGGGATAGCTCTAGACCCAAACGTTCCAACGATAGCAGAATGCAACAATGGCCCCGAAAGAAAGACCAGACCCTCACCTGTTGAGTTGCGTGGGTATACGCAGTTCGGGGCCTCGGAATCCCAAACCCACAGCCTCCAGCCTAAACCCGCGACTGCAGCTAGGGGGCCTATACTGAATAACCCGAATTGGACGCGGAGCTGTTCCCGTCGCGCACTAAGAGGTGATGCGAGCAGCTCCCGTCCGCCTATGGAAGGTCTTGCGAGGTGAGAGTGCAGTGATGTTCTGGCTCTACGGGTGGAGATTTGGAGGTTGGGATGTTCAGGAGTACTGTAAATTTTTGGATGGGGTTCGGGGTGGCCCCTATGTACCTGCTGCAGCCTTAACCGGCACCTCGGAGACTTTTTCTGCAGATGGTTTAGGTCTGTATCACTTGCCGCTGCTACCGTAATCTAAAACCGTAGTTGATAATTCTCGCTCGGACTGGTATTGGATTCGAGTGCTCGTCCAACGCCTTGCTGACTACTTTCACAGATTTTTTCTTGGCGTCATCACCATCATTGCCATGGTGTCTGAAGCAGTTTGTGTTGCTGTTGTTGATACTAGATACCACGGGCTGTTCTGCATTGCTGTCACCTTTCGTGGTCGTCAGTGCCATGACATCGAGTGCATGCCTCAATGTGACCCGCGATCCGGGTCCAGCAATACACTACGGAGAACTTACCATGGGCTTACCAATATTCCGAGCAGCACTCATGCTGAAAATCCTGAGAACCATCAACTGCCACAGCAGCGAAGCAGCGGCAGCAACAGCAACAACCACAAACATGAACAAGAAAAGACAAGTGCAAGTGGACTGACAAGCAGAATCAAGAAGAGCTTCCGAAAAGCCCCAGGCCGTGCGCCACCTCCACTGGGCGCGCTTCGCCCACGTGGCGGTGCAATGGCCTCACGGCCGTCCTCGGGTTTGGAGCTTCGGGCTCAAAGGTTTTGACTCTGGCGTTGTTGCCTCGTGCAACCTTGTGCGTGTGTAGGCCTAAGTAGAGAATAGAGAAGCTAGGATTGTCTGGATCTGCTGGTAATCACGAGCTCTCGAAAGCAATACAAACCCGCAAGAATTGCATACCCTGTAGCCGAACTCCAACTCCACAAAGCATTTTTCACGTCCCCGTCCAACACTCGGAGAAACCCTACTTGCCCTACTTCCACGCCCAGAAAGCGAGACTTTGGGCTCCTTATGAGCTACTATGAAACCACAGCACCCGGAACCCTAAAATCCCACACCCTGTTTAGGGTTTAGGGTTTAGGCCTATGTAAACTCCGCACCCGAACCCTTAAAGCCCTCATACTTTCCGCCACTGCAGCCACACGGCTTGAGATCTGCTGCGACGTTGGTTGGAAGGCCCATCCTCAATCCCCAAAGAGCAGTGGGATGCATTTCACGATAAAGGTAAATGAAAAGATATACATTTTTATATATTTGTACACACATATATATATATGTGCACATATAATAATACATATATATATATACACACACATATACATACACATCTTCAATCGTTCACTCGCTTCTTCGTTCAATCGTTCATTCGTTCGTTCTCTCATTCCGTCATTAACTTTGCTTCATTATTTCATTGGTTCAGTCTTACGTTCTTAGATCTCATGTCATATCATCCATCCAAACATTCATTCATTCATCAAGTTGTTCATTTATTCGTTCGTTCGTTCATTCGGTTATTCGTTCGTTCAGGCGTTCATGAATTCATTCATGCATGCATGCATTCCTTCCTTCCTTCATTCATTCCTTCATTCATTCCTTCATTCATTCCTTCCTTCCTTCCTTCCTTCCTTCCTTCATTCATTCATTCATTCATGCATTCAGAACTCAGTCGTGCATCTGCATGCCGATATCTACATGCACAATATGCCTGTGCCTATTCTCGCGAGTGTTTACGGGCTTCGAGCTCGAACTGTTGAAGGCTCAAACCTCAAAATGTTGGACATGTTGACGTGGAATTGTTCAGTTCAAGTTTGAGGTTTTCGACTTGGATTTTAGAATCGAGTTCGGGAATGTGGGAAGCAAGCGGTTCACGCAATTATAGTGGGGAACGCAGCAGCTTGATGCTCTCGGATTCGAGCGAAAGTGTTAGAGCTTAGGCGATCAGGACTTCTGAGTATTACATGTGTGCATTTATCAGGTTCACTTTCCCTGGCTATGAGTGCTGCAGCCGACGTTTGAATCGGTCGCATGGCATTTCAGACCTCGACTATTCCAGCGTCAATATACATCATGCCACATTCTGCGGAATAAGAATCTCGTCCGCCGCCATTTCGCGGAGGACCTGGTTCAGCAGGCGCCCGCTGTCAACATCGATGAGGGCATCTGCACAGGTCAGGCGCGTGCACCGGTCGAGGCGTATCTGCCAATGTCTGAAAAAACGCAACCTTAGACCTTTGACGTGCAGAGACACAGGCCTTCCTGGAAGGCCACGTGGTGCAGCAGATGCTCGGGGATGTTCGCCCGCCGCTGGAGCCGGGAGGCCAGGAAAGCCAGCAGCGGCGCCGCGAGGGCCAAGCCCAGGCGGACCATGGCAGCGGGCTGCGGGGCTTTCGAAAGCTCTTGCTGTGGGGGGAGTGGGGGGGCGGGGGCGGGCTGGGGTGGTCTGTCTGGGATGTAAGGGCTACGTGTACACACTCAGGCCGCGGTTGCTTGGGGGAGGATCCGACGACAAGAGGAAGATCACGGAATCGTCTCGCAGTCCCTTTAGCCCCTCTTTCTTGCTACATCATGCATATACGGACGGCCTACGTTGGCATCCATCTTCCATCGGCTCTGCTTGAGCCGCAACAGCTCAGGCAGACGGCATCCCCGGCAAGAATCCCATCGAAACATCGTCAGGATCGTCAGGAGCCAGCCTCCCGACTGCGTTGCCGGCGGTGCCTCGTAGCGACTCCCAGAGCACTCCCAACATCTCCGACACTTTCCAGATTCCATATATTACATAAACAAGTAAATAAAAATATATGTATAAATAGTATACAAAAATACATAAATAAATACATAGATACATATATACACGCATGTCTCTCTCTATATAGATATATATATATATATTATTTGTTGATTTATTTATTTGTACACACACACTGTATGTCACATTGGGTATATGGTTCTACATGTTCTACAGTCAACTGTACATATTTATTTATTTATACATCTATATCTATATATATATATATCTATATATATATATATTATGTTATATATATATTATAACTATATATATATATGTTGTGGATCCTTTGCACCAGAAGCGACTCCGGGCGCCCCGGCTTTCGGGGGCCGCTGCCGGAGGCGTCCGACCTCGCGGACCTGGGAGGCTCCGACGCGCTGTGAGGCTGTCCGCCTCTTGCCGGGTATACGGTTTAGGGTTAGGGGTGTAAAGGTTTAGGGTT